TGAACAGTATCGAGATAATTCTATCTATTCTATAATTCGATAAATTCTCTTAATAATTAATGGCAACAAGTGATAATTGTTATCTGATGGTAAAAAATGTATGCTAATGTAGGCAATTGTACGTACTGCCTTTGCACAACGGCCCCGCTGCCGACAAACGGCACCGCTATCAACATAACGGCACCGCTACTGACAATCGCCACCGCTTTTCGGTGATCGGTGGCCACTATTGAACACGTGTCATCAAGCACCAGGTTGTGTGTATGTATGTTCGTATAAATTTTTGTATGTGTGAATTAGTATTTAAAAAGAACCGAGGAAAGGCCAAAGTCAGTCGAAGCTTGAATTCCTTAGAGATCAGTTCATCATAAAATCTATACAGTAAGTTTGTGCAGTGAGCAAAAGTTTGTACAGTAACATTATTTTCTTTATGATTTTTTACAATATTTTTTGCACGGTCATTTAATGAGGAAACAAGAAATCTTTTATTTGCACTACTTTTTGAATCAGAAGCTTGAATATTTCGAGTGTAAAGTAACATCATCTCTTAATTATAGATTTATTTTGTATTGCATTGCACACTAAATTTCGGTCTAGAATTTTTTTGTAATGATCATAATGGTTATCTCAATGATAAATGATATCAATTATGAAATATAATTTATATTATTGTGCAAAATATATGCATTAGAAAAAACTGTAGATACAATATTTTTTCGAATACGTCACATATTCTGAAAGTTTATTATTGACTTTCTTCTTAATAATATTTTGTAAATGAAATAGAATTTTATAATTAATAAATATTTTCTATGCATGAGTCTTAATTTTTCAATTTGATATTTGGTCGTGAATTTATTTGATGTAAACTGATTTTTATTCAAGTAAAATATTTGGTTATTATTTAGAAAGCAAACGGCACCCCCGATTTCGATGATTTTTAGATATGTTATTAAGTTCGAGATTTTGAACAACTTTTTCCTATATAATATAACCGCCATTCGACTTTAGTTTGTTTAACTGTTTCTGCGGGCAACCAACATTCAACAAATATAAGAGGTAGGCTGAAAAATCAAATTTAAATAATTTGATTGATTTTGAATCTCAGCTTGTGTGGCTGTTCGCCTCACGGCAACTAAGATACTTGCAAGCTGGCTGCTGTCAGGCACAATTTAAATTTGATTTTTCAGTCCACACCTTATAGAGGTATGTCGAATGACGGTTGCCTGCAGAATTCAATGTAATAGTTTCGACAGTTTCTCGAAAATATCTGAATGATTAAGGCCGAGCGCCTTATCATTATATGTGTAGGAAAAAGCTGTTTCAAATTTCGAACTTTATAACATATTTAAAAATCATCGAAATCAGAGGTGTCGTCCGCTTTCTAAATAATTACCAACTATAAAAGTTGTATGTGTAATATGCTTATATATAATTATTATGTTTAATATAATTACAATACTAAAAGACATTACAAAAATATTTACATTAAAAGACATTGGAAAATTATGTAGGTTGTTTCGCTATAATTGTGAAGAAAAAATTTCAAATTTTTTATATATAAATAAAATACTATTTAAGAAATGTAGATTACATTTTTTTCTGAAAGTTTCTATTGGCGTCCTTAAAATATTACATAAATTATATTTTAATTATTGAATTAGTTTGTTTAAAAAAAACTGCAAATGATAAAACATTTTTCATTTATCAAAATATTTTTAATTCACCATAAGTTTCCTATATATTGTTTCAGTAATAAATGAGAAGATAACATAAATAAAGTAATATCAGGCAACCCCAAACCTATATTCGTATACATAATCGCAGTTCATCTATTTTCTGTTGCTTTATAAAATTATACACCTATATTATGTCGAAATCAAAATTAAAACTAGACACTATTTCTTTAATTGAGGTTACCGTTCATAACGTTCATTCGATTTTGTTTTACATAATTTGCATCCTTTAAGTGTTTAGAACATGTAGGTAAAAGGATATTTTCATATCTAAGGTATTTTAGAAGTTACAGCCTGCTGAGCGAAACCGTCCGCCACCGCGCCGGCTGGGAAACAGGTAGCTGAGGCGCTTTTCTCGCTTCCTATTAGTGAATAGTTTTCCTTTTCATGCCAATAGATGGCCTTTAAATGATAATGTTATATTATCTACGGTCGGTAAGGAAAATTCATACCCACCATATTGTTAATTGTGCGGCGATTGCTTACAGAGTTGAGTAGAGTGTCGTGTGGATATTGTTTAGAGAGTTGTTTAGAGTGTTGTGCGGAGATTGTTTAGAGAGTTTTACAAAACTGGCGAACTCACGGAAATCTCATGGTGGTGTTCATCCAAATCGTCCACGAAAGAAGAAGTTTAAATACAATGCTGAGAAAATGGAGAACGAGAATGCTTTTGCTAGCACTTCAGCCACGAAAATAAAGGATGCAAATTATGATGACATCGAAGTGGACGTTGGATATAATTATGTAGTTCTTGATTTTTTAACTGTGTTTAACTTTTTATCTCAGTGTCTAAAGTGCAAAGAATGTGACGGGGATGTAAAATTTAGTCGCATGTGTGAACGTGGACTTGGCCTTAATTTACTTCTCACGTGTAAGTGCAAAAATCAACGCCGCGTCTCTTCGAGTCCTTTAGTGAATACGGCTTATGAGATAAATCGTCGTCTTATGTTTGTAATGCGTATTTTGGGACTTGGGTTACGCTCGATAAATGGGAAATACGCACACAAAATTGTAGATTTGGTGATCAAGTTTTCATTTTGTCAAGGCTGCAGCAATTGGTCCACTGCAAAAGAAACCTCGGAATATGAGAATTGGTACAAGACTCACAAAGAGATTTGGAGCATAAATCATTCCGGAAGTGCTGGTAAGATGGAAGTCGATGGCACGATAGAAATATTTTCTCGCTCCGAAGAGTTGCTCGGCGTAAAATATGCTACATATATCGGCGATGGAGACACTAAAACTTACCGTGTTCTGCTTGATTATAATCCGTATAGTGACTTCACTATACAGAAGAAGGAATGTATAGGCCATGTCCAAAAGCGGATGGGCATTCGACTACGCAATGTCAAGAAAAAAAATAAAGGGATCGGAGGCAAAGGCAAGTTGACCGATAAAGTGATTAAAGACCTCACAGTGTATTATGGACTAGCTATCAGAAGGCACACTGATTCGGTAGATGAAATGAAAAAGGCTGTGTGGACAACATTCCACCATAAATGTTCCACGGATGACAATCCTCGACATGAAAACTGCCCGCCAGGAGCAAACAGTTATTCTACTTTAATAATTCGACATCCGTTTTTGTTTCAGATAAACTAGGAAGGGTGTGAAGTGCCCCGCGTAGAACAAACGACGCCGTACATTTATTTATTTGATCTGAGCTGGAGCCGCCATTTTGGACTTTTTTTTTATACAAAAAATTGAAATTTATCTTTCATTTATACAAAAATATATTACTTTGAAACCTATATCCAAAAGTATTTATTTTATATTAGAAAAAGATTCCAGAACCTCACGCATGTTTCATGCATCTCGACGGTAACCTTCCCTTAACGCAACGGCAGCGGCGACGTATTTTCTTAAAAAAATTCCGTAATATTTGTCAAATGAGTATTAATTCAAATTTAGAAATTCAAAATAATACCGTTACTTTATCGAATGTGCCAAATAACACCGAACAATTACCCCAGCAGCAAAAAGTTCTAAAAGAAATTGATTTTGATTATTCCAATGTAATGAATACTCATAATTGTACAGAAAATAATCATGATTTAGTTTCTGAACATTCAGAAATTAGTATTGATGAAAATAGTCCGCAGTCAAGTATTTCAAGTGATAAATTTTCTAAAACTGAATTTTGTAAAACAGAACTTATTAACATCAGATTATGGGCTATGACAAATCGTGTGAGTCATTTTGGTATTAGTAGTTTACTGAAAATTCTAGTAAAATACGGCCATAATCTTCCTATTGATGCTCGAAGTCTGTTTCAAACTCCCAAACAAGTAGCCATTATTGAAATAATACCAGGAAGATATTATCACGCAGGTTTAGGTGATAGTTTGAAAAAATCTATTCGTAAATATTATTGTCGAAGTAATTTACCATCTCAGATCAATATTAATGTAAATATAGATGGTCTTCCTTTAACAAAGTCATCAGGGGGTCAATTTTGGCCTATTTTAGGTAGTATAGTTGCAGATTTGTACACCTAACCGTTTATAATTGGTGTTTATCATGGTTTTGAAAAGCCAAAATGTAGCAATACTTTTTTGAAATATTTCAAGGATGATTGTTTTGAAATTTTCCGATCTGGTATTGTGGAATGCGGCAAAAAAATAACTGTGAAATTGAACGTATTTATCTGCGATGCTCCTGCAAAATCGTTTATCAAGGAAATTGAAGGACATAATGCATATTTTGTATGCGGAAATTGTATTCAAGAGGGTGATTACATAGAAAGACGCGTAACGTACCCAAAAATTAATGCAATGTTAAGGTCAGATGAATTTTTTAACTTAAAAAAACAAGAACACAATACAGGGTGTCCCAAAAGTCGGGGAGGAATCGGAAATGGGGGGTAGCTGACACGATTCTGAACAACAATTTCCTTTGCAAAAATGTCGAATGGGGCTTCGTTAAGGAGATATTAAGCGAAAACCCCGACCAATCAGAGCGCGTGTAGACCGTTAGAGCGGCCGCGGTAGCGAATGCTACGCGCTGACGGCCGCGCTTATACGCGAACAAGTGACTCGACGTGCATCGAAGGACATTGTCGCTACCGCGGCCGCCGAACGGTCTACGCGCGCTCTGATTGGTCGGGGTTTTCGCTTAATATCTCCTTAATGAAGCCCCATCCGACATTTTTGCAAAGGAAATTGTTGTTCAGAATCGTCTCAGCTACCCCCCATTTCCGGCTCCTCCCCGACTTTTGGGACACCCTGTATAATCACTTCAAATCTTGAAGATTTAAACATTGGAATGGTTACTCAATTTCCTTTAGACTACATGCATCTCGTACTATTAGGAGTAATGAAAAAATTGTTACAGTTTTGGATTAATGGTAAACGTAATGTACGTATGGTTGCAACTCAGATAACTCTTGCTTCAACTTCTTTATTATCTATGTCATTATTCCTACCTAAGGAATTTGCTAGAAAGCCAAGGAAATTAGATGAAGTTGATCGCTTTAAAGCCACCGAATTAAGACAATTATTATTATATACTGGGCCAATAATAGTCTTAAAAAAATTATCACGTGATAAATATGTTCATTTTTTGAGTTTGAGCATAGCAATTCGAATTTTATGTAACAAAGAATATTGCGTACAACTGCTTGATTATGCACACAGTTTATTATTGTATTTTACAGGTAGGGCCCACTGGCTGGGTTTCCCTTTGTGGCGTGCGTGTGTGCGTGAGCGCTGATGGTGTGTGGGTGTTCGCGAGTGTGCTCCGGAGCACCCTTTCCGTCCGCGACAGGACTACCACCGGAGGTGAACTCCGTTAGACTTCCCTCCATCCGTTTCGCGAATCTCCCGCGTGACCTCGCGCGGTTTGAGAACGCGCCGCGTTTCGAAGGAGAGGGCCCCTTCGAAACGCGAAACCGTTAATTCCTGGCGTAATCTTTTTCCGACTGTATTTTGATTCTAGGGCGGATTCTTGTTAGCCCCCATAGAGTTAAGTCGCGCCGGTTAGGTATACGTTTTCTGTCCTTCGGATACTTTCTTTTCGTATCGGGAATTCCGCATCGCGCTTCTCTTTCGGCGTGTGGTCGCCACACCTTTTCCTCTACGGTGACTGTACCGCGGAATTCCTCGCATAAACTTCGCACGAATAAAGAAATTCGATTAAGCGTACGCGGATCAAAGTTTATTTTCCCTTTCGACCTCCTCTGGGTTTCGCTCTCTGTAGGGCAGCCGGAAGGACGAAGGGAACGGACGTGTGCACTTGGCACTGACGCCCACTTTTTACAAATAAATTCGTCCGTAGAAATTGTGCGACCGAGCGTGTCGATTAGCGGCTTTCCCGGCCGCCCACGCGAGGTACGTCACAATGGTCGTCAATATATATCATATAACGTTCATAATTTAATTCATTTGTGTTCTTATGTAAAATTATGGGGAGAGTTAGATAAATTTAGCGCGTTTAAGTTCGAAAATTACATGCAAAAAATTAAATCGAGCATAATCGAGCCGATCTTTGAGTCGGCCATTAGAACAATTAGTCAATCGTTGTAAAGAAGAAGATAATTTTAATATAACAAATGTAGAAAGGAATTATCCAATACCAAAAGAACGTGTTGTAAATGGTAAAAAGATAATAAAATCAGTTCAATGTAAAGGTTTCTATCTAAGTACAAGAATGCTACTGACAATTTCACTTACGACAATTTATTTTAAAAATAAACAGATTTACATTACTGGGAAAAAATATTTAAATATTAAACCATTTTTTCACATTCCATGCAACTCTTTAAATATCGGAATTAAAAAAATTAATGAGTCACAGTATGAGTTAATTACTGTTCCATTATCTGATATTAAATTAAAATGTGTAAAACTGCCTTTATGTGACGAAGAATATGTGGTATTGCCTTCATTGCACTAACAAAAAATATGTTTATGGCGAGTACTTATTTTGATAGAATATATAATTGAAAACAATATTAAATTATTGAATAAGTTTTCCTTTTTTACAGACTATTAATAATAGTCAAAAATTTCGCTGTCGTCACTTTTCCAAGCGATGGGAATAGTGAAGAAGAAATAGTGTCAGAAGTTCCATCGTTATGCCTTTCTTCCAATTTAATAGAATGCTGGTGGCCGACGCACAGTGGGACAAAACGACTCTCGGCGATCAAAAATCTGTAACTTTAGTTCTACTGGAGATATTTTAATGATATTTGGATGAGTTTTGCTCCACATTATGGCCTTTAAGTTATATTAATATAAAATATATTAATCTAGAGGGTGACGAAATATTTACATGTAAAATACAGTGTGTTGAATATCTCAGCTATATGTTATATACTTTGTTTTTTATAATTAAAATTCACATCAAATCTGTTAATAAATATTTTTTTTTTAATTTTCTTTATTTAAATGTTCCTATTTGTTTACAAATATCTACATTTGGTTTATCCTTTATTTAGAATACTAGCATGCGGATTTCGGTACTATTACCGACAATCACTGTAAAAATTTTTGTTGTTTTATTTGGAGTGTGAGTGAGTGCGGTTTACAGGTGTAGCAGATCTATGGGATGTTTTCGTTTAAGTCTTCTGGGAAGGTTTGTATAGTTATTTTTAGCAAGAAGATTTGTATGTGCAATTACTCTGTTTCGATGTGGTTTGCAGAATCTTGTGAGTTCTTCTTTGCCTGTGGGAATATACAGTGTCCTTTTTATGTCGTCGTTTCTTATATACCATGGTGCATTTAAAATAGATCTTAATATAATGGATTGTTGGGATTCCATTTTTTTTATATTTGATTTAGCTGCCATACCCCAAATTTGTATCTCATATGTCCAAATAGGTTTTATTATGGTTTTATAAATTAATAATTTATTGTTTGTGCTTAATTTAGATTTTTTTGAAGTTAGCCAATACATGGATTTTCTCGTTAACTTTATGTGTTTAATTTTTTCTTCTATGTGCTTTTTCCAATTTAGCTTGTGATCCAGATGAAGTCCAAGGTATTTAACAGAAGTTGTCTGTGGAATTTCCTGATTTAACAGTCTAATTTTAGGAGTTGCTTTTTTTTTAAGAGTGAATGTAATGTGCGAACACTTGTTTGAATTTAATTTGATTTTATTATCTTTTGTTCAGTTCTCTATCAAATTTAAGTGGTTTTGTAGGTTTTCTGTTGCTATTTCAATGTTTTTGTGTGTGGATAGTACAGATGTGTCGTGCAAAGGTATAAGTTTCCGTTTCCAGCATCGTTGGCATGTCTGCAGTAAACAGAGAATATAGGATGGGTCCAAGTACGCTTCCTTGTGGAACACCAGCGTATATTTCTTTGAGCGAGGAACATGTATTTCTAATTTTAACATAAAAGTATCTGTTCGCAACGTAAGATAAAATAACGGTATATATGCTATTTGATAGGGATGTTTGTAACTTCCTTAGTAGTCCTTCGTGCCAGACTTTATCAAACGCTTTTTCCACGTCGAGGAACAATGCAGTGCAGTTATTTCTTTCTTCCATTGATTTAATTATATTATTTGCCATTCTGTGTATTTGATCTGCGGTATTATGATTCTTCCTAAATCCAAATTGGTGGTCTGGAATTAGATGTTTAGCAGTTATCTCGTCCATTAATCTTTTATGTATTGTTTTCTCTATTACCTTAGATATTATTGGGAGTAGGGATATCGGCCTGTAAGAGGATGGTAGTTTTGGATTTTTACCTGGTTTATGTAACAGTATTATTTCCGCACATTTCCAAATCTGTGGGAAATATCCATGTCTAAATATAGCGTTTGACAGGATTGTTAGAAATCTCACTCTTTTAGCCGGTAGTTCTTTTAACATTTTTGATGTTATCAAGTCGTATCCAGGAGATTTATTATTTTTTAAGTTTTTGATTAATGCGATGATTTCTTGTTTTTTTATTGCTTTATGATTAATTAGGTTATTGGTAACTGTGGCTATGGGGGTGTGCGGTTCATTTGTGAATACTGTTTGAAGGTAATTTGCCATGGTTTCGGCTTGGTCTTCCAAAGATTTTGTCCAACTTCCATCCTGTTTTTGAATTGGCGGTATCGGGATAATTGGTCTTTTTAGTTCTTTTGTACATTTCCAAAGCGAGTACACTTTATAATACAAACTTTGTATTGTAGGTTTTGAAGAAATTATCGTATTCATCAGTTGTTATTGCGTGTCTAGGTGGACAATATATTGCCGAAATGTTGATATCGTACGTGTTTAGTGTTACGTTAACTGGCGTAGCTTGTATTTTATCGGTTTGATATGAGTTTATTTGTGAGTGTCTGATATTTTTGTGAACAAATATTCCTGAACCTCCATGTGCTCTGCCACTAGGGTGTGGTGTACCGTAGTAGATATAATTCGGTATTTTTAAGTGAGTTTTTTCAGTTTCATGCGTTTCAGATATGACAATGACGTCCGCATCTTGATAATTTAAATATACTTTTAGTTCGGGAATTCTATTTTGTAACCCGTTGCAGTTCCTGTTGAGAATAAGCACTATGTGCCTATAATTTTGAACGTTTTCTGTAGTTGCGCTCGTCAACGCAGTCCCCTCCTTACCGGGGGTCGGCTTTGTCTGAGAAGAACACGGTTTATTGCACCCCCTGACCGTTTATAGTTTTTCCGACTCTCGGCAGGCAATTAGCAGAAAACCTCTGATCGAAGAACATCGGTTCTGTCTTGTAAATTATAGCTTATACTTTTAAATATACACTTAGTTTAAAACTCTGTTGTATTTATTTCCTAAATAAATATTCAACAGTTCCATTCTAAAATTGTAATGTTTATTTGCTTCTTGGATCGTCAGCAATTTCGTTAGAAGGTTTAATAGTGTTGACATTTGAGTAGCTAGATTCTCTATTAATTTTTCCAGTCTTTCCATGTTTAACGTTTGTTTTTCTCTCTGTATAGTTGTTATTTGGCTGTTGCGTGCTTCTGGAACTTCTGCGTATGTTTTATTGCTTGTTGAGGGAAAGGATGTTTGTTCGTTGAGTATTTTAAAACTGTTAGTATTGGTTTGTGTTGTTGTTTGGTTTGGAGAGTGTCTGGATCTATGTGGGGGGAACAATTTTTTTTGCAATTCCTTCCTTACAATACAACCTTTGTAGCTCGCCGGGTGGTTACCTTTGCAGTTTGCACAAATTACCTTTTCTATTTGTTTGCCAAGTGGGCAATCGATCGAAAGGTGATTGTTTGCACATTTGACACAAGTTAGTGGTTTGTTGCAATAAATTTCTTTATTATTTTTATCTTGTTCAAGTTCAATGAGAAACATTGGCAATGGTGTTGATGTGCCACTTTTTGTCAAGCTGATTATGTTTCCTACCCTGTGCCCATTTTCTAACAGGTCTGCTTTTATATATTCTATATTGAGTTTTGGGTGTAATCCCTTTATTACTACTTTGAATTTTTTTTCCGTTTTTGGCTGATAGGTATAGTAGTTTGCGTTTTTATTTCTTAGGATTTTAATTACTGTTCTATATGAGTCTGGATTGAGCATTTGCAATTTAATTTGATTTCCTTTCAATTGCTTCATTATAAATTCATTGGGTCCTATGTGTTGTTTTAGTGTTTCTATTAACGGGTCAATGTTAGGGGCCTCTATGAATATTGGTGGTGGTTTTGTTATAGGAGTAGGATCTTTTTGTACATTCTCGTTACTTAATTTTTGTAGTACTGCATACCTGTTTGATGTTTGTGGGTCTTCTAGCCATTTAGTATTTGCTTTTGCGTTAATTAGTCTTATTTCTGTACCGAAGCTTTACAGATCTTCCTTCGTCCCTCTTTTTCTTTGTAATTTAGCCAGTTTCCATTGTTCATTGATAGTTTTTTCTAATTCGGTCTCTTCACTTGAGGTGTCTTCAGGGCAATCCATAGTTTGTGGTTGATTGTGTGTTAACGATGTCGGATTTTCGTTACTCATTATTTCGCACTTTATGTGCACTAATTTAAACTAAATATAAACTAAATATAAACTAAATATGCTACCCGGCTTACGCCGAGTAGCCAACGGTTATGGAAAAGTTGTTTGAATTCGTTCACTTGTTACGCGTTACCGTGATCTGTTTGTATACACTGTACTGTACTCAATCAGAGCGACACAACAACACGTCCGTTCAATACAACGGTTAGTGGAACACTCGTTAATAAATATGAAAGAAAAGAATTCGGTTACTTAAAAATGAATACACACATGTTTTAACAGTGGAAATAGGTTAATCAGTAGGTGACTGTCTTTTCTTTTCCGTACCTCAGATGTTTCACTCGATACAGTTAACAATGCACATTTCCACACCCATACCACGAGAAAAAGAATAACGAATAAAACACCACGTGTCTCTCTGCTTTTAATTTTATTATGTTTTCCGAGAAGAAACTAACTACAATTGGTATACCCATTACCACGACGAAACTAAACAGATATGAACGTTACCTTTAGTTTTGTAATTGTAATGGATAAAATTTAATCTTGTAGTTGGAAATAGAAGTGAATGCTAAGTAAAAAATTATTAGGGTATATGGGATTAA